CTAGACTTTCCGGTGACCACTGCAACACTGTCTAGCCTCCTATTACCTCTGCCCTTTTCTTCTCCTAGGTTTGGCCTTGAAACCTCAGTCGAGAACTCACAATTTGCTCTGTTCTCTCAAACCTTACTCTGTATCTCTCTGTGTTTTGCAGAACCCCCTACGTGTATATGCTATGTGATATATCGTAAAACCCTAGCTTAACGCATAATGGTGTATTTATAAACTAAATACTAAAACCCTGATCCTTGTCACATTGAGATAGAGCCCTAAACTTAATCCGAGTTAGCCCATAACAAAAACCTACAATTAAATTCCATTTAATAAAATAATAATAAATCAATTAAATCAAATTATCCAATTAAGTCAATTAATGCAAATAATGTTAAATAATTCAGCTAAGGCAATTAAACCAAAATAATAAACACAAATAAATAATTAACAAATAAATCAATTAATACACACAAATAAACAATTTGCCACATAAGCATTTATTCATAAAATTAATAAATAAAATAAAAATGCACATAAAATAACATTTAAATTCCAATTTTATCCCTTTTTAAAGTAGGGGTATTACAACCTCCACCTCTCAAGGCGACACTACCTCGAACACTATGCACAAGACTCGTAACTTCAGTCACATCAGCCCACGACCCATCAAAAGAAAAAGGTGCCTAACTGGCAACATCGTCCTCAGTGGCTCTAATGACCAAACCATCCACAATCGCCTCAACTGGTGCACAATCTCATCATCTACCTGTCAGCACATAACAAATAACTCATAATCTCCAAACCACCCTCTGATCATACCCCAAACCATTCTGCTCATCAATACTAAATATCACGCCATAACGCCTCTACTACCATCATCCTCGAATGACAACTCAAACCTTTCTTCTTACCAAATCACCAAGTCACCACCAAGCAATTCAACCTATGACACCATCATAACAAAAGAATAAACATTACTCTCGATACCTTCCACAACAGCCACTATTTACCATTAAAAAAGAAGCTCCATACTGCAATGCCATGCCAACAAATCCTCAAAACAAAATGAGCACAAATCTCAGAATGTTCAACACTCAATTGTCTCCTTAAAATCATCAACAATGCAATCAATCACTAACGCTCAACTGACCACTTAATCCACTCTTTCAAAGGTAATCTACATGCCTAAGCAAGAAAACTTCATGCCCTAGGTTCAACATCACTACGTCCCCTCTTCACCGTTCCTCAAAACACCCTTGGCTTCGACAAAAGTCAAATGGGGCTACCAACTAAACTTACAAGATCAACCTCGTCCCAATCATTCCAATCGTCAATCTATCTTTTTGAATCCTTAAATAACAAGCACTATATCCTCATACCCCATACGCAATGTAAAATTTAACTCCAGTCTACAACTTTCAACTTCCAAAACATAGTTCATTTGGTAACACAGTACCTACCATCATCACTTCATCCGCAATAACCAAACATACTGATGACTACATAATACCTGCCTTATCGTACAATCCTACACTACACAGCTAAAACTAACCACTATACACCACCTCGAGACTCTCTAGACAGCCGTGCCAACCCAGAAACCCGCTCATCAACCGAGCTATGCAATCGACTCACCGAGAGTCAATTACCCATAGCACACTCCTGTAGTTTCCTGAAATGGGAGTCACTTCTTAACCAACCGTAACCAACACACTCTCTTAGGCCGCACCAGAATACCCGCAATACACATCTATAACCCATAAACTACATTCGTGACTCAAACAACTTCTATCACACCTACCAAGACCGGTTCGAAAAGAATCTCCGCACCAAACTATGACCCAAGTCACAAATACTAACCTCCTAAGGTCATACCTTTATCCCTCGAACCCCTCACTCGCACACCTGACCTTTACGGTCACAGGATCCCATCCACCGATGCATGAAACTCACACACAACAAAAACAACATGCCATGAAATACGAACCCGCTCTAAAGTCGTGCTTTAAGCACTACACAAAATGCAACAAGAAGATCAAAATGAATACACGCCAAATAACTCAATCCACGAGCTAAAAGTCAACACCTGTAGTTCGATAAGAATCAATACCCAACAACCCTGGAGCAACCGAGCTCCTCTCCTACTCAGGTCAAAACTTACATAACCCTTAATGCCGTGACAAGTACTCTACCGTACTAGCAACTACCCCAATGCTCAATCTCATAAGCATATAATAATAAGGATATACACATATACAAAATGAATGAAACCCACAATACCATGATACAATTGTATCCTATCATTTATATTTTATTTTATTTATTTATTTATTTATTTATTTTTATTAAACACCCTGTCTTTCATTTTAAAAAAAATTCTTACATAACCAAGCCTAATAACCATCACAATATCATACGAGACATGCTTGCACCTACCGTGCTCTCTATTTGCCGTTACCACCTAAATCACATTTGTCATCACATCATAATTAATATATTTTTAATTATGTATACATTTCATCGTCATGGCCATATAACACACATTTTAGCAATTAAACATTTAAGCATGTGAACATTTAGCAAATAAGCATGCTTTTTAAAACCATAAACACATTAGCAATTAAGCAAGTAAACATGTTTCTCATGTAACAAACACTTTAACACATAAGCACATAAACAATGCAATCCACCTTCTACACAACCCTAGGTTGGCCTTTACCCATCGTCCTCCTGGTTTTCGAACCTCAAGCTCTGATACCAAATTTGTAACGACCCGAACCCGACAGTTCGAATCGATAACTAGATCCTTATCTAAATTTGAGGTCAACTAAGGACACTACCGTCCTTTCCTATGTCAATACATAATAATAACAATAATAAAAATGGGATCATAGTTACAAATTATGTCAAAACAGTCCACTAACCCGTCAAAAAAAACTGCGGAGGAGCATCGTCCGCCACTTCCCTTTCGTATCTTGAAAAATGTTAATAATAAAATAGGGTGAGCCAACCGCTCAGTAGGAAGTGTTTAAGACACACCTCTTACGACCTCATGAATCCATACAAAGAATAGAATATAAGTAAATGGGATCATGCTTCTGGGAAAGCAAGTAAAGCAACGGTGATATCAACAAATACAGACGCAAGTCGTCTAACCACCAAATATACAATGTATGCCAATGTAATGCCATGCCATGCAATGTCACTCCCCATTTCCAAAACAATACCATTTCAACTTCCAAATCGTTAGTGCAATCCGACCTAAGGCACCTCCAAGGCGTCACGAATGGAGGGTTGATTAACTATTCATAACCACAAGGCACCTCCAAGGCGTTGCATTCGGCCTAGTTAGCTCAACCATACTCCCTTCTAGACTACACTAATAACACGGACCACTAGGCGCCTCCTAGGCTTCCGATTTTCGCAAACACCTTTGAAAATATTTTCCCAAAAATAATTTCATTTATTTTTAAAATAAACTTTTCCATTTACTTTCCCAATGGTAATGTATGAATTATGCAATTCCTTCAATGCTATAACAATATAAAAATTTCGTACATATCATCCACATCAATTAGACATGTTTAAAACATAAATTTTTACACAATATCACATTCTCACATTTCTAATTCATGGCATTTTACATATTTTCAATTTGCAAATTAAACAACTTAAATACATAAGACTTAAATTAACATCATTTAAGCATGTATCATCTCAACAAGGCGGCTATCACATAATCACACACTTTCTACAACATAAAAAATAATAATAATAAATAAATCATGTATACAATATATAAATTACATCTCAAGAATTTAGCACAGTATAAACATGCTTGTACATCAATTAAAGGAGATTTACTCATAAAGCTCAAAGAAATGGGTATTAGAACACTCCTACCTCAATTTTGTAGAAAACCCCAATTTCAGCCCAATTTTCGGAATCCAATGGGTGGCCAATTGAAAATCAGCTTCGATCAAAATGAAGCCTAGGACGAGCTTGACAACTTTGTCTTTAATGGCAAAATCAAATTCTCAAAAGCTTGATCTAGATCTAAGGTTGAATTAGTGAAAAATAAAATAAAAAAATAAAAAAATTGAACACTGATACGGGAGGTGAGAAGCTGCGTGAATGGAAGGTGTTAAAATGATGACCTTTAGATCATTACATAGTACTAAAGGTAAGTGGTGGGTCCCTTGGCTTTAAAATCAATTTGTCATTATATATATATATATATATATATATATATATATAAACAATAAACACACCACAACCACACATTTAAACATATAACCACATAATTGTATATCAAATAATAATTTGTGAAATGCAATGGACCCAAGACACAATTCCGGTATACAACAACTCCTGTAGTGGGACCGCCTCCCGGCCCGAAAAATGAAAAAAAAATGCCGAAATGGCAACCAAGGCATTTTCAAGAGTCCTGAACTCAGAGAGTTGCCCCAATCAACACTCTGACATACTCAACACAACCTACGTTATCCGGTACGCAAATGAGAAAAGACGAAAATACCCTTGAAAAATAAAAAATAAAAAAATCAGAAAATGAAAAATGAAAAATGACAAAAAACGGAAATATTACAGGAAGAGATTGTGCCAATCTCTCTTTTTGTTTGGTTGGATGAAAGAGAATAGAATAGGACAATATCATATTTTGTTTGTTACCAGAAAAGAAAAAGAAAAGTGTTAATTATAAGGAAAGTTTTGTAATTTAAAAATATTTTTCTTCTTACATTTCTTCCACCTATATTTGGAGGGATAAAAATTTGTAAAAGAGGAAGATGACTCATCCATCATCTTTTCTCTCCTCTCCTTGTCTCCTCTGTACCAAACAAAAAAAAAATTTATTTCTTTCTTCCTATCTTTCATCCGCCCCTTCCTTCCTTCCTACCGAACAAAGCATAAGCAAATGACTTTGACATGTTAAAGCCTTGATAAAAGCATTCCATATCATTACTAAATTGAAGATTACGTCAAAGCTTGGATTTGAGAAAAAAAAGTCTGGACTAAATAGATGCTCATTTTCAATTGGGGGAGGAAAAAGAAAAAGAATAGAGCTAGTATGCAAGAATGTACACATTTCTTGCTGAGACTCATTAATCCCACCCTAATAACATCAACAATACGAACTCTAATTCACAAAAGTGACGCGATATCTTTTCACTCATCGTCCACATAGATGGTTTCTTGCTCAAACAGACCTCCAAAAAGCTTCCTCACTTCTTTAGTGGACTCTGTTTGTGTGGCTTTTGGCTTTGGCTTCGGCTTCGGCTCTGCTTTTGGTTTCAGAGCAGGAGGCTTGAAGCTGAAGGACGGTTGCTTGATGACTGCTTTCTTGGGTGGCAGAGTCCGAGCCTTCGCCTGTCCCCTGACCGTGGCAACCTGCACTTTCGGTTTCTCGTCGCTCGGCTTATTATTCTGAACTGCTTCCGAAAGCTGTGAGCTGAACTTCTCCCAAGACAGTCCTGAACTTAAGTCTTTTGCTTTGTTCAAGAGGCTTTCCACTGAAGCTCCAGCAGCTACCGCCTTCTCTTCTGCCTCCTCCGCGAGAGTGGCAGCCCGAGCTTCTTGCTGTTCGAGCTTTTTCACCTCTTGTTCGAGCTTCTTTGTTGCATTGGCTGCTTCACGAGCCTTCTCACTGGCTTTTATAGCTTCTTCCTCCGCTTTTGCCTTGGCAAGAGCTTCTGCATAAGCTTTTCTTCTCCCATCCTCAGGAATGGCTCTACAAAATGCAATTCATATTCACAAATATTGTAGTACATATCTCATCCAAGACAATTGTAAAAAATTGCAATATAAAAAGTGCAATTACCTAAAAAGTTCACCCACAGACTTTGATGGGGCTGATGGATCAGTAAAAACTTCCACAACCTGAATATGAAAATAACCCAAATACTCAAATGAATGGGTGAACCAATTGCCAACCAGAAGAACAAAAATGACCCCCAGTCATTTGCACAAGAATTTAACACTTTTTCGTTAAAGGAACTGAAATATATGGGATGGAGAGTCGAACCTAGGCCATTTGACCACAAGCACGAATATCATACCACTAGACTAGCTATCACACTACACACAAGGAAAAAGACTTTCCGGCACCCGTTATATTACATCATTCATGACATCAACCAATTATATTTTATAAACTATTTTAATTTAGTAGGTCCAATCACTACGTGTCAATATTTAATCAATTAGTGATACTATGTGTTAATACAACTACAACTAGAGCAACAAAGTATTTCTTCTTTTTCCACCTACATAATCAAGTGTAGATAATACTAGAAAAACAAGTTTAGGCAATAATATAAACCAAGAACACTTGGACACGACTCATAAAAATAGTGCACCACCACAATTCCATTCTCTCGTAATTGGAAGTTGATAGTAGGGTTTTATTTTAAGAAAAATGATATATATATTTTAACAATTAGATTAATCTCATTGTATATATGTAAGTGAAGATTGACGTCGTGATAACATTATTGATGAGACTACTACCACTATGACGACTCCCACTAACATAAAAATAATTAGAATTATTTCACTATCAAACTTCATGTCAAGGCTCTTTGCATTATCATCATTATGTGTCAATAATGTTGAGTTCGGTAGTGGTGGCCAACAAATGGTGCCACCTCAACCTTCTAAGTTGAAATTTTTATTCACCAAAGATTATTTTTTAAAAAAGAAAACATTAATAGTGAAAACAATAATCTAATTTTCCCGAATTTATATTATATAATAAGAGGAAATTCAACAGACCTTATTTTCTGCCACTGCTGTGTTGGAGAAAACATTTGCCACAAGTGACGCTATCTTCGACTTGGGTACCTATTAATTCTCAAAATTCATATAGCATAAGAGAGAAATATATATAAAGGAAAATACAGTTAAAACAAAATAATTGGCAAAGAAATTATCGCATACATTACATTACTTTGTAGTCGTTTGTTGCGACACTTCCTTCAGCCGAGACGACGACGTTGTACGAACTCTCAGGGGAAAAATCCTCTGTTAACCGTGTCTTGATGAGTGTGTAGCTGACGTCCGTCTCGACGACCTTTTGAAGAAACTCGATCATTGTCAACGGCTGTGATCGCGAGAACAGGTTGCCAAAGAAAGTTGAGATTCCGTCTATGACGTTGTAAGTGGAGGCTGTCATGATTGACCCATCGTAGACGATCGCCACGTGGCCGACACCTGCCAGCTGTGCGGCCTCGATGACTTGTAGAGCGTCCGATGTGGTGACTTCAGTGGTGGGACCGTTTTCAAAAGGTCCAATTGTGACCACCACTTTGCTAGCGTTTCCAATTGCTCTTGCTATTGATTCTGCATCTTGGAAGGTGGATTCAACCGCGTTGAGACGATTTGATTCTTCATTGGAAATTATCTGAAGAGGTGTTGGAAGTATTTGTGAAACTAAACCAAATGTTCGTAATAGTGATATTTGACGGGATACATTTGATTAATCATTAATGTAATAAATCAAAAAATTAGAGAAATTTATTTTTATTTATTTAGCATAAATCAATTAAAAACATTCAGTTAAGAATTTTGTCTTTCTTTCTCCCTACATCTAAATGTCACATTTGTGACTCGTAATAATAATTTCTTGAATTATATAAGGATAACTTCACCGGTTAATTAGCTATCGAATTACATATCATTTTTCTTTTACTAGAAAAAGGAATACTAGCGACAGTAGTTAGGGCACGACGACTTATGCTGGCAAGCACGCACAATTGAAAAAAAAAAATTAGTAATATATACTCATTATTTTATTTTATTTTATTGTATTAAGTATCTATAAAATTTTAAAATTATTCCCACTCAAAACTAAAAAAAAATAAAAAAATCCCACTATTGTTCCAACAACATTCTTTATTGTAGTTGTTAAAAGTCTAACCCTTGCATAATTTTTTAGGTCCGTCTGAGTATGAGAACTTGAACTCCAGAATATTTACTTTAGAATGTGACAAAATATTACCGAATGGACAAAAGATAATTTCAAATTAGATAAATGGGACTGAATGTGATCGGATTTGAATTTTAAACCAATCTATATTCTAACAAATCAATACCCAAATTGAAATTTTAGTTCAACTTTAATAAATTAGTCTATAAAATGAATTTCGGATAAGATGGAATATCATATTTTACTCAGATACAATCATTTCATTACCTAAGAAAATGTTCAATTTTCATTTTTCATTTTAATTATCCTCAAATAAAAATTGATGTGCTCCAGTGCAGATTTAGCCAGCCAAAAAAAAAAAAAAAAGTTATAGAACTAGCACATTTGTTACTTGTTAGGCATGGGAGCTACCTTGTATTTGGCGGCAAGAACAGCCAGTTCCTGGGCAGCACCAAGCTCCGGCACACCCGCCCTAACGCTAAAACCCTCACGCAACAGTGTTTGAGCAATGCGAACGCCTGCCTGCCCGGTTGCTCCGGCAACAAACACCGTGCCGGGGTCTTTACGCCTGAACAACAGCCCCGAAGACGGCTTCGTCACAACTGGGATCAAAGCCTTCACATCCGTCACCTTACCAAAATTAAAGAAAGGGTTGGAATTGGTGGATTCATTAGCTTGGCTTTGCTCCGATGAATCGTCGACACCGGACCGCTTTCCGAACTGAAATGATGGGAAGGATCCAGCCCTTTTGGCAAACACGGTGAGCCTTGGGTTCTTGAGGGTCAACCTTGAATTGGGGGTAGTGTGTGGGAGGAATGCATTGGAGGTGAGAGTTGGAGCCATGAATGGATAAAGAAGAAAAAAAAAAATTTATAGTAGTATTGTCAAAATGATATACATATGTAATGAATTAATGTGTCCATTCAAGTGCCCAACTCATAGATTGGATCAAAAACACTAGTTGGAGAGTGTGTGTGTGTGTGTGTGTGTGTGTGTGTGAATTGGATGAGCAGAAGGGTTTGTGTTGTTTGAATGTTATCTGGATGGAGAGATGTGAGGAATGTCCAATGGGATTCAGCCATGTAAGCAAATTTTATCCATAGAAGGAAATTGGACACCAGACAATTTCGAAGCATATTAAGTGCGCCAATCCACCATAAAATGTCATTCTCAATGTACTGATCAAAAATAAATAAAAAACACACTTGGCCCACCGATGAAAAAACCCACACGCTGCGATGTGTCACGGCCTAAAGCTTTTGGTTTATCCGGGCCCATAGCAGATGGTATCAGAGTGGGTTTAATTTTTTATTTGGTGTCACTCTAACATCCACATGAAAGTGTTCGGATCTCCCACCATTAGGGTGGACAAGTAGACAGGTTCATACATTGTGAGTTAGATAAGAGAAAATGTTATCAATTTTTATCTTACATCAAATCCGGATAAGAAAGATCTTCGACATATAAAATTGGTGTTGACACCACCGCTAAATAACCTAAGCTTTTTAAAATCGTAAAATATCTGACCCGTGCGTCAAGTTTTATGTGAGGTACAAATACAATAATGTAAGGTGAAGCAAAAACAGGAGATTCGTCATCCAATAAATGTTTAAACAATATTTTACCCCATTTGTGCGTTTGTTTTCTTAAACCACAAAGAGAAACCAACTCTCAAGTTATGTGTTAATTCCTTTTTCATTTTTCCGGTGGAGTACAAAAATGCATTTGTGCCCGAAAAAATTTTGAATGGTAAAACAAAGATAAAGCAAACACACACCGACTGAACCAAATTGCTTGTAGAATCCAACTATCCAAAGACATTCTAGCCTTCTTTCTGGGCCTCTTCGAAAGAGAATCCGGTACTTTAATCCGGTACTTTCTGGTCTGTTGTTCTTTTGTTTAGTCCGTTCATACCATCCATGCATACTGATTCACTTCCGATTCCAAAAACTAATATCAGATCAATTCACAATTTAGAGGTCAAATACTAATCTGATCATCCTTACTCTACCTTAGAACTAGCTCAGTGACCATTGTAACAGAATATCCATCCCCCTTACAAAGAAGGATCATCATTTATCTTTTCTTCCATTTCTCTCTCCATGAGAATTATTCCTACCATATGCATGCATAGTCAAGAGAAACATTTAACTGTAATACCATTTCAAGGTGTCACTTTTAATTTAACTCGTGCTCACTTCAAAAATCTCCAATTTAAGAATCGAAAAAAGTTACACAAGGGCGAAAGCCCCCAAAGGCATGCTCTTGAAATAACCAATCATTGCTGACTTAATAGGCCACAAACCAGACAAGCACACTCAAGAGAAACATGACAAGCACAAAAAACATGGGAAGACCCCTGTTCAAGCACATTATCAAACCAAAACAATCACCGGCTCAACAATCTCTATACTTAATCAGCACTGGGATGCAGAGATCAGTCCTCAACTAAAGGGAAATAAATAAATAAATATATATATATATATATATATATATATATATATATATATATATATAAAGCCTGTTTACCGATCTTGAAGAAAAATAAAATCTTACACACTAGTTTAACCTCTAAGCAAGAGACATGATTATCCGTGTTCATGGGAGCCCTAAATTGTAAAGAACTTGTAGACTTATTCATACTCCTCCATCTTATTGTAACAATTAAAAAAGAAGTACGTTACAAAACCTTTGATCATTATAACTTGTCGCCAGGTAGATATCCTGAGGAAAAATACTGAACTCCACGTTATCCAATCCAGGGGTCTTAAGACTGCTCCGGAAGATCTCATCCAAGATAAAATATTTATTCCCTCCATTTTCTCTTGTGCACCAAGGTTGTTGCCTAGTCGTATCTCCACAACCTCCTCTACCTCCTAATGTGGTTCAAGTCCCCATAAGGGGCAAATGGATATGAGTTTCTTGCAAATGAAAAAAACAATTAATAAGAAAACAAAGAAATAATCTCCATCTCTTATTCAAATACAAAAGCATAAAAGGAGGGTCAGGAATTGGCACGGGAAGCTACCTCCCCTCCCCTGCCCACTTGCTCATTTTATTGAACCTCCCCTTTCATCCACCACCTAGTCGTATCTCCTCAACCTCCTCTACCTCACATTGCGTTCAAGTCCCCATAGGGGGCAAATGGGTATGAGATTCTTGCAAATGAAAAAAAAAAAAAATACAAAGAAATAATCTCCATTTCTTATTCAAATACAAAAACGTAAGAGGGTCGGGAATTGGCATGTGAAGCTACCTCCTTTCATCCACCGCAGAAGGTTAAGGCAGGGCATACTAGGTTTATGCGATAGGGGGCTTTTTTCCATATGCACATTTCTTACTGGTGGACGGGAGAGAAGGACACAGTCCATGGCTTCAACACCATATTTTTAAAACCATCAGAAATAAGAAAGTGAAGTGTTTACCTATTCTCCTGTGTTCCAATCAAGTATATATAGTGTAAACTAGGCCACCACCAACCATAGGCAATAGCCAATCAAACTGACCTCAAAAGATGGTTACCCAGGGTTCTCTAGCATCAAGCTTGGAAGCCCGAGTGTGCACCCAGAATTTGTTTTCTAATGGTAAGATGTTGCCAAGTTCTCTACATAATCCAAAGGGAAAAATCACAGTATAATAAAAATAGGCTCAAATCTTTAATCCTGTGATATGCAAGATTTTTCAGGGGAACTTTTTCCCCATCTTCTTATTGCAAGGATGGTGACCCTTAACTGGATGGTGAATGATGCGGTAGGTGGAGGTATGCTGAAACCTTTTTGGCAAGCATTGAGGGGAAGAAGTGGCTCGGGTTACTTAAATTTTGTAATCAGAGGACAACACCATGTCTACAAGGCTAAAGAATATTAGTTTGAGGCAACAGCAATATTAGTTATATGCTTGAGGCGGTTAAATTTAGAAAAAGGAGAGTGCATCCCATACAGGGAAGGTGCAAGATGTCAAAGATTTAGCTTTTAATCCAGGATGGAAGGAAAGGCAGTGGTCTACCTCCTATGGGGCTGACCATTAGGTACGTCTTTCCAAAAAACAAGTGTAAGATCCGGTGATGAAAGGTTCAAGAGGAAATGGCCAATATGGAAACAGCAGCAGTATTTGTTTAATGGGAAAATGTTATCATTTCAAGCCTTGGGATATATTTTATTTCTATCTTCACCATTCAATATTTTAGTTCTAAAATTTAGGCGGTTTTTCAAAAACAAGGCAGCGTAAGATCAGGCATATGAAGAAGACTCGAACCAACCTGCCGGAAACAGGGCTGACCCATGGACAAAGACTTCAGATGAAGAGAGCACCCATCCATTACGGAACTTACCCTGCTAATACTACGGCTACCCTTTGCTTTCCAGGCATATTGCTTTGCTACCCTTTGCTTTTCGGGCATCCTGCTTTGTCTTTCCAAGGCGCTTTCTTCTGACTTCTTCTCAGTGATGAAAGCTTCAAGAGGAAACGGCCAGCAAGGAAACAGCAGCAGTGTTTGTTTAAAATTGGAAAAGGCCATCTTTTCAAGCCTTTGGCCATATTTTATTTCTATCTTCAACATTCCGAAGTCCCTTCCAAAAAGGTTGGATAACATCTGGAGGATTTTCAATGGGGCACCTGGGCAAAAATTCAAATACTACCTGGTAAACTGAGATGCGGTTTACACTCCAATAACAGACAAGATGGTTTGGGCAAAGAAATTTTGGGTGGTTCAATCTAATGGTTGCATGATCTTTATATAGAGTTGACGGAGGAAAAGTATGGGCCAAGTTAGGGAAATGGGTATTGCAATGGCTAAAAGGTACCTATGGGATGAATTTGAAGAAGTGTCATTTATTAACTCGAGACCAGTAAAAAGAAAGAAATATCGCATCAGAAAGGCGTGAGCGAATTACATTTATAGTGGGAAGTGGGTTTAGGGTGAGCTTCAAGCCCGAGATTTGGTACAGGAGTACGTAATACAGACCTTTACCAGCTTGCTGTAAACAAAAATTCCTCAAGCAGTCAAGGTAACTTGTCAAAAAGAGAATGCTTCTAGAGGGACTAAAACTACTCCGGAGCCAGTAACCAATATAACATTTCTCTTTCCTTTTTTTAGGGGGGAGAATAAAAACCAATATAGCGTTGCCAGATCACACTGCATCAAAAGTACAACATAAAGATATATATGTATATATAAGAAACAAAAAAAGGAGCAAATAAAACCACAATAAATGATTACTCGATGTAAATGCAACAAATAATTAACTAGTGAAGCTTTTACCGTCTGCAAAGCAGACACTCTTGCCAGAAGCCATGGAAAACTAATCATAAACAATCCATGACAACGGTCCAAAAAAACTAAAAAGAACTATGAAAAAACCGGACATGCTTGTGCAATTTTAATCAAAGCACATACATACATTGTAACTTCACCCGAATTGATTTAACAGCTGATATCTACACCAGGAAAAGGGATGTATTGAAGCCTAAAGCACCACGGAGAATTTAGAAAACAAAGTCCCGGAACAACTCTTAAGCTGCCAACCATAGAGAGGTTAAACCAAAACTCAGTGAGAGGTGAAACTATTTACATACAAACAGGAAGTAGCCTACAATATCAAAGTCTTACATCTAAGAAAACCCAGTAAAGGATGAAAACATGCCTCACCTGATTGACTTCAAATCTAGGAGCTGCACAAAGTCTGCTCAACCCATCTAGTTGACAATATTCTCATCTATCAATTAACCAGAAAGCCAATTTAGTATCAAACATATGTTAGAAGGAAACTGCCAAGACCTTTAGGTTATTTCATATATCCCGGAGAAGAAAAAAACTCATAAGCGAACCTACAAACGATATTATTGATTCTACCAGCAATATACAATAAATTCACATCTCAAAGCGCGCGCACAAATAAACAGGAAGTTTTGTAAGACCAAATAAGAAAATAAAACCAGAAATAAAAGATTGCACATCACGAACACCATTCAAGGCTAAGATGCCTTATATTCACCCTGTTTATTTATCCTATAAAAAAAACAAAATTAAATCCCCAATGAAGGGAAAATAATCATTACCAGCAAATATAGCAGCAAGGTCTGTATGAAGTAGCAATCAACAAACTAGCTCAGGAAATCCTCATTTATCCATTTCAGCTGCCAGCAGTAAACATAGACTACATTAAACAACTATCAGCAATACCACCTCATTTAAAACACTAATATTCTTCAAATAAATGTCAAAAGATACTGATCAACAAGATTAAAACAATGGAATAACAGCTGGATGTTCTAAAGCAGTAACAAGTTTAATGGCTAACGCCCTTTTTCGCTCTAAGAGATTCAAGAGCCTTTTTCCGAAGCTCAATCTCAAGCTTTTTCTGCTCAGACTCTCTCTCTTCAGTGTCACTTGCTCGAGACTTCCTCCTAGCAATGCGTTCACCATCAGAAGACTCATAACCATCATGATTTTTCTCAAAATCTGAGGGTGGACTGTCGGTTTCAATTGACTTCTTTTTCAGCTTCTCTGCCCGCCGTTCTTCCCTTCTGCGACGTCGCTCCTCCCGCCGCCTACGTCTCTCCTCCTTTCTTAATCTCTTCTCTTCCTTCCTTCTTCTCTTGGCCTTCTTCCTCTCGTCTATTTGGGAATCACTACTGTAATCATCATCTGATGCCACTTCTTGCCTTTCCGACCTTCTGTGCTTTCTCTTTTCATTAACTTCAGCTCTGTGCTTGTCACTTTCCTCAGAGCCAGAATCCAAGGAACCACTTTGATCATTCTGACCAACATTTCTAATTGATTTTGACAAAGTTTCAGATTTTTGACGTGAATTGCTGTACTTCACATCATTTGAAGGAGAACGTCCCTTCTCATCAGGGTAAATTGTGGGCGACTTTTGTTGATCAGGTACTTCAGCATTAAGCACCCTTCCAGAAGTTTTCTCACTGTTAATAAATTAAAACCCACATATCATGTGTATGTATGAATGCATGCAATCATAAAACAAGAAAAAATATATGACAGAGATAACGCAAACCTTAATATCCCCAGGTCTTTCTTTCTCAATTCACTATCAGGGCGGCTCCGAGTCTCACTAGACCGACGACTATCTAATCTTTCAGGAGAATATTCATCCATGTCATAAACTTTTTGGAGAGAATCTTTAGGCTCATCAGCGGTTAATGAATGTGTGTATCTTTTTTCTGAAGACTTAATAAGCTTCTGATCTCGATGCTCTCTAAAATTAAATAAATCCAAATTACAACATCCCGAATACTAGTGAATAAAAAAAATCAGGATTTTATCAAAACCAACCTGGCAATAGGAGTTTCTTCCTCCTCTCCACTTATTTCCGGACTGTCAAGATGAGGTTTATGTTCTCTCACTTTCTGTGTAAAACTTGGGCTGCTACCATGGATCTTCTGTTCCCTTGTCTGCTTCACAGGACTCTGATATGAACTATATGAAGTTCAACAGCAGTAAATTATTTACCACAAAAATTCGGTAAATATGGCCATAAGAATAAAATAAATATCAGAGGATACCTCCTATCTTCACTGGGACTTCTCCTTGACCTCGGTGGAGATTCAGAAAGAGAAGGAGATTTGTATGGTGAAGGTGACAATGCTGGCACCTTTTTACGTGAATCATTTCTATACCTTGGATCTCTATCTGGTGACCTTGCAGAAATGGGAAGCCGACGTGCCCCGCCATCTGGCCTTCTACGAGACACAATTGGGTGTCCAGCGTTCTCTCTCGAGGGTGCACGACAAACTGGGGAGAGTTTCTCGTGGGTCCTGTAAAAATGCTTTTATGAGAAAATTTTCTTTGGTAGGCATGATTAAGCAACAATGATTAATCTAAACCACATCTAAGAAGCTATAAAAGTAAGACCATAATGAATCATATTGAAATGCAAAAGGTACCCACAACTGCCAAGCTCATTACATTATGTTCTGAATACTTCTGATTCCCACACCATTAACACAGCCACACTACTCACAAACTCCAACTATGTTCATATGCAGTATTCCAGAATTCTCTTTACAACTAAGAGGCATGCATCAAAAGGCAAATGAGAGAACGGATAACTAGTAACATTCAACTAAGAGAAAAGAAACATTTTTAGCACCGAAATACCTGATTTTATCTCTAGGAGATTGCATAGGTGACCTTCTCTGGCGCTTTGGTGATACCCTCCTAACAGGTGAAAGGGGTTTACGACGAATTGGAGATGGGGAACTCCATTTTTGAGGCGAAGGAGACCTACTTTGAGGAGTAGGTGATCTCCTGCGGACAGGGATAGGAGACCTGCGTGAAACTGGAGACGGGGACCTACGTCGTGGACTTGATGGAGATCTCCGGTACCTTCGTCTTATGGGAGATGGTGATCTCCGACGTACGGGAGAGGGTGATCTTCGCCGCATCTGATACGGAGATCTACGCCGAAAAGGAGACGGGGATCTACGCCGCAAAGGAGGAGGAGATCCCCGTCCCAAAGGAGATGGTGATCTTCGTCGCACAGGAAATGGTGATCTACGTCGGAAGGGTGACCTTGGCCTGTATCGCACAGGTGACCGCGATCTACGTCTCCTAGGGGAGCACGATCCACGGCTCAAAGGTGAACGGACCCTACGCCGTACAGGAGAAGGGGATCGGCGACGTGAACGCGATGTGGATCTCCACCTAGAACGAGATGATCTACGTATTGAAGGGGAAAGAGATTGCCGGGGTGAACGCCTCCTGCGAGGTGTAACAGACCGCCTAGGAGGAGATCGATACGCCTTTTCAGCAGAAATGGAGCGTCTTCTACGTTGAGGAGATCCAGATATACTTCTTGACTTGGGCCTTTCACTGAAACACATTAAAATAGGATATCAACATAATTTAAAGGGAGGAAAAAAAAAATCAAGAGGGACAGAGTTATGTACAATCTGATTCAAGACATGATGAGGTAAGAAAGCATGAGAAACAAATAGAAAGATAAGATAAAGTCATAATGAACTAAATCCTAACGTCTAGTGGTTCTGCTGGTAAATCAGAAACATACTCTGAATAACTTCTAGAATTGGAGAAGGACTTGCTAATTGACCTAGAAGGTGTGCCTCTGCATGGTTAAAAAATACAAACAAACAAAAGCAATAAATTTAAATTTTTCTCCGGATGTGCCCAGAGCAACAAATTAGAGAAAGATATTATAAAGCAAATGACTATCAGAATAAGTACCGAGGCGTTGAAGGGGAACGATCAGCTGAACGAGGAGATCTAGACATCCTGTAAAGGTGAAGAAAATGTAACTAGTCTTACATATCTGGTCAGCAATGTTAGTATTAACATAATAACTATGTACTGTGATAATAAAAAGAACAAACCCTCCCAAAAAGATGAATTTTAAAAGGTGGAAGAGAAATGCCAAAATATATGAAGAAACAAAACAAAATTGAAAAATAGCAAAAGGAAAAAACATCATGGCACTGTCTGCAACAAAAGTTATGGCACTGACTCAAACAACAGTTGTGGGAAAAGGAAGTTAAATATAAACTACAGTATCAAAAATATATATATATATATAGGTTACATATGCATCACATTCAACCACAAATCAAAATGTTTTAAGTATCTGGTTGGACTGGACATTTATATGAAGGATGTATGTGTCAAACAGCACCTTTAATTCTTTTTTAAACTGAGACCACCTGTTAATGACAGTTTCAAACTAGAAGGAAGTCATATGAATGACAGTTCAAAAAGACAAAAGAGAGAAATACCAGAAGGCATACACTGCCACTATTATGAAAATAAAAAATATATTCCCTAACCTGCTTCTTCCTCTTAAGCCATTCCTCTCGTTTGTTTGTTTCTCGTCTATTGTACGAACACCAGAAGCCTTTTGCTGATGATGCTTCAAACTTTGCTCCAAACCAGCATCATTAGCTCTTGATCCGTCAAGCTCACCGTCCTACAGTAGGTTGAGGTAAAGGACATGAACCCAAATAATTGCAGAAGCAAGCTGAATGCCATGAAAACAATGGAAGTTAAAAACAAAAACCCAGCTTCACATAAATTAACTCTGGCTTGGAAAACAATGTTAGTTACCATCTTCCTCAATTTCTCTTGCTCAATTTCTCTGCCCTCTTTCTCTTTCTCTTTCTTCTTTTGAATTTCATTTGTTACCCGATCCATCTCTGCCTACAAAGCCCACAGTGCAACATTGATAAGAAAGAGGCACTATAACACTATAAAATGGAACCCACATCATAATTCAGATCAAAATAGTACCTTCTTCGTCCTAGTTTCCTCTTCTTTGGCATCAAGTAACTGTTGAGGGACACCACTTGCATTCTTCTGTGCACTGAGAAGAAGTGTCCAAAGCTCTTTCATAAACTTTCCAGTATTTTTCTCCATGAATCCAGTTAATTGAATCTGAACCTCTTTTCCATTAATTTCCTACAGCCAAGAAAAAGTGCTGTTAATGCTATTAACCTTTAGCCCAGCAAGAATAAAAAAAGAAAACATTTTTTTCTAAAATAACATCTTATAAAAAGCAAATTTAGATAAACTATGAAGCTCTCTCTTACAGCATTTGAACAAAATTACAAATTTATAAAACTGTATTTGACCCTCTTTTTGGTTCTCTAAGGGAGTTTTTGCCAAGGTTTCCAAAACATTTCAAGTCAGGATTAAATGCATAAAGTGATCAAGAAAATGGTCTAAAAAGGAGAAGTCATTTCAAAGTCTATCGCCTATACTTATCATTATCTGAGAGAACAAAAACAAGTAGTGAACTAAGCCTAATCAACTAAGTTTTTTCATTTATTTTATAGTGAGAAAAGTCTGAATCTGAACAACAGAAAACAGCAATACAAAACTATATTCCTTCTTCCCCTTCAATTTTCTCAGTTACCAAAAGGAAAATCATGTAATTAAATAACAACCAACCCCCTAGCAATAATAAACATAGAAAGCGGTTAGATTACCTTTCCATCGAGTAGGCCATAAATAAAGTTGATAAGCACTTCGTCTTCGAATCCAATGAGTTCAGTCACCCGATTAGCAATCCACGGTTTCATAACATCCATCTTCACTTTCGTCATGTCCACCTAAACACACATGTAAAACCAATAACACACAAGTCCGACCAATGTTCCACGAATTCTAGCAAAATTCAATTTTTCACATTCTCAACTACATAGACAAATATACACAAACACAAACACCAAAATATATAAGAAAGACGAACCAGATGTTCCAATTCGGAGGGGAACTTCTGCGATTTCATAAGCTTGGCTTGTTTGTTGGAGAATCTAGTGTCCTGATCGGCCGACGTACCCTGCAAGCAAGAATTAACCAATAATCAATCACTCAGAGCCTCTAAGAACGAGATCTGTGTGATGTACATGTCAATAAGTTCCGATCTAACAAGGAATTGCAATCAATCTGTAACGAATTCACATATTCATTGTGCTGTGATAATCGAAATCTTACCCGGAAAAACCCGCCCGACATTTTCTAGGGTTTCTGGGGGAGGAACTGAAGTGGTTGATTGAGAGAGAGATTGGGAAGAGGGTAAAAGAAGTGCGGGTACTCTGGCTTTATGGGTTTGATACGGGAGCTGACTGATTTGAGACTATAAAAGGGAATGCGTGCCCTAATTGAACGGATTAATTACCAATTTGCCCATGGGTTATCCTCCACTTGTTATGAATAAAGAGGGAGGTATACGGTTCTTGTCCTAGTTGCAAGTATGTGTAGCTTTTCATTTGATTTTGATTTTTTTTTTTATTGTTTTTTTTCTGTTAAAGCTTTGATTCTCGTATGATATTTTATGATTTATTGGACTGTTAGATGCGTGTGTTTTGAATGCATTTGAGATTTGAGATTTGAGATTTGAGATTTGAGTTTTGATTAACCTTATTAACTCTAGTGCTAAAATCACCTTTATATATTACTAATAAGTTATTAAAATTAACTATATACTACTTTTTTATTTTAAAATCATAGAACTTTACAACTTACTCCGGATTGCTGAGTAGTAGTTTGCAAACCATCTTTGAAATGACTCTCATATGCTTGGTACAAGAAAAACAAAAACACCCGGCTATGTTTAAGTACGGTGGGAACAATAAGAAAGGATAAGGTTTTAACCCCTATCGTGTTTGGTTAATTAACAAAACATAAAATTTTTACAACTTATTTTGGATTGCTAAATAGTAGTTTGCAAACCATCTTTGAAATTACTTTGATATGCTTGGTACATGAAAAATAAAACATTTGGGCTATATTTGGTATGGTGGGAATAAAAAAAAAAAAGGATAACAGAGAAGGTTTTAACCCCCTATCGTATTTGGTTGATTAACGAAGGAAAATAAATGAAATGAAAAAAAAAAAAAAAAAAAAAGGAAAGTATTTTAGTAAATTTACTATTATACCCTTTTATATTTTAAAAGATAAATTTATGGGCCTTAAAAATTATAGCCCATGGATGATGGGCCACCAGAAAAAATATATACTATTTTTAGGGCAAATAATTTCAACCTCCCCAATCACCTCTATCTCTATTCTCGTTCTCAACTCTGAACTTGCCCTCTCTCTCTCTACAATTGCAAACTACAGAATCTACAAATATCAGAATTTCAAAACCCATATATTTCAATTTATTTATTTATCTGCAAGAATCAAAAGTTCAAATCGTATTACCTATATCAAAATCCATATTGACATATCATTTCAGATTGTTCCAAAAATCAAAACCCATATCTTTTAGTTTCCATCGCCCGCTGTTCCAGTTCGAGTTCACCGTTTGCAAGCTTCAGCCGCTGTCTCTCAACTATCAAGCTTCCCCCCCCCCCCCCCCCCTTACAAATGCTAACTTGTATGTATGGGTTTTGTTTTTGTAATACCCCTAATTTTCAAAATGATATAAAAGGGATTTAATTATTTCTTTTATTGTATTTTAGTTGCTTACGTGGTTATGTGTTTATGTGGCTTCATATTATATGTTTAAATAAATTAATTATTTAATTGTAAGTGTGTGCTTAAGTAACTTCATGTTATATGTTTAAATAAATTATATGTTTAATTGTAAGTGTGTGCTTAAGTGGTTTATTTAAATTAATTGTTATATGAAATTATTTGTTAAAAGATGATGTGTTTGTTTAAATGTAATTTTATTTGTTAGATTAAATGTGTATTTTATTTTATTTTTAGTGTAAAATGATTAATTTGGATAGTAGTAATGGACCCATAATTAGGTCGCATGGACTACTTGAATGGGAGTTGATTATGGGTACGGATATTTACCCATATATGGATAGTTGTTTATATATAATTGAGTATATATGTATATAAGAGTAGAGTATTATTATTATTATTAATTATTTAATATTAATACTAATGATAGTAGTTTAGGTTAGTAGGTTATATATATATATAATTATAAATTATGTATATATTTAATTATCACGACATTATATTATATGTAATTATATTTTATTTTTCTTTCCGTCAGACTTAGGTTTCAATTAAGACTAGGGTTGGATTCTGTTTAACCTATAAATACATATGATGGTCTGTAATAGGGTTTGTAAACCCTTACAGCAGCAGAGAGAGGTACGGAAGAATACAACGTTTTAGAAAGAAACTGAGAGAAGAGGATTAAGGTTTTGGCCAAGAACAAGGGCTGAACCAAGGAGAGGTTATTGAAGCTTGCTCGTGGGTTGAACTAAGGGCAACAGTGAAGTTGAAAACAATTAGGGATTGCCAGAAAAATCTAGGAAGACGACGTTGAGATTTTAATCCGAAATCTCAAAGGCAAGTTTTATATTTTACTCCTTCCCTTAGACTTGTGTTATGTGCATGCCTAGATAATCTCCAGGATTTAATCAGATTTTAAAACTGATCTTGTATGCATATTAATTTAGAATTTTAACTGAATTATGTGTTGTTAATTGAAAATTGATGTATCGTATCAATTGTTTCATGTTAGGTATTTTAAATTGTTGTTAACGATGCATACTGTGTTTTATAAATTTCTAAGATTATTTGGGACATAGATTGAAGCCTAAGAACCTTAAGAAAACATTACAGAGGATTCTACAATATCACCGGAGGTGAAGAAGATGAAAGGTTTCAGTGACGGCTCTTTGGGAGAGAGAGAAAGAGCCAGCTCCAAGAGAGAGAGAGCCTACTTTCCATGAGGGAGAGTTGGCTCCACAAGGAATACAGCCGGCTCCACAAAGGGAAGAGCTGGCTCCCTCTTTGGGAGAGGCGACTCCCCAGCTGGCAGTGCACCTACGGGTGTAATTTTGAGATTTTTGGAACTTCAGGGGTTAAAATGAAATTCAGGACTTTAATGGGAGGTTTTAAATGATTTAAATCAGTTGGTATCAGAGCACTCTAGGTTAAAGTGTCCTTAGGAGTGTTTTTTGTTATGTGACTTCCGCGTTGCGTCTCTTAAAACTTAGAGCCATATTAGGATTCGTTGTATTCTATTTAAAGTTCGTTAGAATGAGCTGATGTCAATTATATTCCGTAGTTACAGAATGGTTGACACTAGAAAGATGATGGGGTCCAAGGCGAAAGCGATAAAAACCCAAAGGAGTAAAGGAGTATGTTATCGATTTCTTTGCCAGAAGGCAAAACTTGAGATCGAAGGTTTAGTTCCGGGTTGGCATTACTTTAAAAGTATAAGCCAATGAAGGATTTAGGTGTACGTGAGAGGGCACCGCATATCGGGGCCAACGCGACTTCAGTGATCTCAAAAAAGAGACAAGAGAAGAGTAGGAGTCCAAAGAGTATCCTAATGGAGGAGATATCAGAGTATCCAAGGAAGAGGGTACTAAATGTTGAAGATTAATGATCGCGCAATGGGTGATCTTATTTGCTAGTGATATAACAAATGATATTAGTGGAATTGGTGTTGATCAATCTACATATAGTTGAACTTTCTTATCATCTCTAAAAGAGATATATAAGAAGTACTCTTCAGGAATTTTGAGATTTGATGGAATTCTTATCGGAACGAAACGTATAATTTTATATCACATTCAGGAGAGCATTGGTATTATGTCGTGACATTTTAAGTTGTTTTATAAAGCCGCGTTAGACGGTTTACATTATGCGTATAAGGAGGATGAGGGTTAAGCTTTTGGTATTTGCTTAGGCAAACGGATGTTGCTTTTAAGCTATGTTTAAATGATATGTTTCGAGGTTGGATGATTACCTACGAAACTATAAAAGGAAATTGTGACACAATCTAGTAAGGTTGATTATAAATGAGACTTTCTTTTCTCGAAAGAACGATGTCGTAAGCAGGAATATATTTTGTGTTATTGTGTTTGTCTTACGTTTTTATTTATTTTTGTTAATTATTCGGGTTTTGGTATGTGGTTTAGTTGGGGACACAAGTATATGATCAGTCAACTACTTTTTTATACCATGGAGCACTAGCGCTATATTACGTTAGGATTGTGAGCATAAGGTCAAATGATTTGGAAGTTAAAGATAATTCTAGCCAATCTAATAGACCTGGACAGGTGTTATTAGGGCATGTTATTTGGGATAGGATAGTTAAACTATCACTACAAGTAAAATAATCTAAACGATTAGTTTAATATACTTTACGTTAGGTATGGATTTGTATCTTTTTATAACGCTATGATAATGGTGGTTGTTAATGTTTTGGTATTCATGAGGTTGTGGTGAGTAAAGACCACTGTAACGCTACGATGGTATATCAAAGGTGTCAGAGTTACAGAACATCTTCTTAGAAATTCCAAGTGTTGTCAACAAGACGGAAGGAGGATTTCGTGCTGGTTTAGGTACTTATTGGAATGACGCCAAGAGAGGATAGTAGACTGACTAAATCTTCATCAGTCTATTATTAACCAAGACATTATTCACGAGGGTGTCAGTTGGAAGAATTGCCGGTGTTGCACATAAAGAAGGAAAAATCTCTTCACTTGTACAAATAATATGAAGAAATTTTTTTTAGGTCCAAGTTGCAACAAATAGTTGTTGTAGGGGTGGCAATATTTGACACGACACGAGATAAGCAGGTTAGGGTTTGGGCTAATCGTGTTCATGTCATAATCGTGTCGACACAGATTGACCCGCTAACTAAACGTGTCATGTTCGTATTTGACCCTGTAAACACGATTAACCCGATTAACTAAACGTGTCAGATAAACGTGTCGTGTTCGTGTAAAAAATGACCCATTTAGCAAAATATGTCGAATTCGTGTCAAAAATGACTTAAATGTGTCTTTTCGTGTAGTTTCAAGTCTTGACCCATTTATTACATAGGCTATGCGTGTCGTGTCGTGTTACATGTTTAATAATCGTGTCGTGTTCGTGTCAACCCTAATCATGTCCATGTCGTAATCGTGTCGACACGAACATGACACGCCAACACGAATTGCCACCCCTGTTGTTGCTAGGAAATTGATGACTATTTGGAGGATGGAAATATTCTATATTCTTTTGAAGTTAGACAAGAAGTCAGATTGACACTTACTTGTATTAAAGAAGCAGGGTGTGTCAAAAACAAGATGGGGAGACCGATCACCTATATAACAAGAAGATGTGCACAGTGTGTGTGGAAAAGTTATAGCTAGTTGACTTT